GCTTATTATTTTTTTTAATGAATGGATTACTTTTTTATTATATTGAATGTATCTTTTTAATGGGGTTCCTACTAATGGACATTAAGTTGATTCTAATTCTTTGATAATAAAAACAATGGAAATGAATATACTGCACATATCATTTCACTTCATCTCTAACTAGATCTCTAGGATAAATTCCTGGTAATAGAATTATTGGTCACAGGCTACACTGTAATTTTGGTAAGTATAGCTCAATTGCTGTCTGCAGAAGTACAAATTGTATTCCAGCAGTGCATGACACCTTTTCCAACACCTTATATGGATGACCTCTGACTTCAAATGGTTTGACAAACACAGTACACCAGGGTACCCAACAGTCTACAGGGTACTGTGGTGCTAAGCTATGATTATTGGTGGGTTAGGTATATGAAATATATTTTCAAATTTTGATATTTTCAGCTTACAATGGGCATATTGGGATGTAGCCATATTATAAGTTGAGGACAATTTGCTTTATCTGAGAGATAAAAAAATAGTTATCTTGAACAGTTTTAATAAACTTACCTGTGAAGTTGATTGTCTTCATATATTTAAATATATTTTTATTTTTCACTGTAAATGGCTTGGTTATAAATTTTACCTAGTTTTCTACTAGATTGAAGTTTAATTTCTTATTGATTTGTAGAAGATTTTATAAAATAGGGAATTTATAATTTTGCATTTTGTTTTGTTTTGGTTTTGGTACCAGCAGGTGCCGGAATTTTGCATTTTTATGGTCTCTGACTCACTCTTTTTTCATTTTTAAAAGTTTTAACTGTTGGGGCCAGGGATTTAGCTCAGTGGTGCTGCCGCCTGCCTCGCAAGTGCAAGGTCCTGAGTTCGATCCCCAGTGCAAAAAAAAATTTTTTTTAACTGATATGCAAAAATATAGATGTAAATATATGAGTTTCCATGTAGGGGCATTTATCTGTCTATATCTCATCTCTTTCTCTTAAAGAGTCTATAATCACTGGGTATTTTGGCCTTTTTATGAAATAAAATTATAAAATGAGTAATGCAAAATCAAAATTCCTCACAAAACAAATGTATGGCTTAATGAATTATTATAAGGCAAACACCCCTGTAATTATCACACAGGCCACAGGTCATCCAGGTAGCTAGATGAATACTTTACCATTCATCCCAGAAGTCTCCAAGTGCCCCGATCCTAGTCCCAACACCCTCCCTTCTCAAAGTATCCATCATCCTGTTTTTTTTACAGTTATCATTCATTTATGTTGCTTTACAGTTTTTTACCCACATACAATCCCAGTTTAATCTTACCTTTTTCAAATATTGTTATGTTTTAAAAGTATCTTTTAATTTTTGGATCTCTCTCTTGCTCTCTCTCTCTCTCTCTCTCTCTCTCATACTGGAGATTGAACCACTGGTCTTTGCACTGAACTATGTCTCCAGCCCTTTTAAAATTTTTATTTTGAGATAGGATCTCACAAAGTTGCCAAGTTGCCCAGGCCCAGGCAAGGCTTGAACTTGTGATGCTCTTGCATTAGCCTCCCAGAGAGCTGCAATTACAGGTGAGCACTACTATATCTGGCTAGACCCTAGGACTTTTGATGTATGGTTTCTCACAGCATGGATTTTGTTCTTGGTGTAGTTCAACACATTTCTCTATCCTGTGTATTTTCTGCAAATTAGCAGATGGAACCAGAGACTTTATTGGATTTACATATAATCCCTTTGGAAAGACCATAGGTGGTGCTGTCTTCCTTCAACAGAAGGCACATAATGTCTGGTTTTCTCTTGTGATATTAGCAGCTGGTGATGCTCAATGTCTACTACATTCTTTAATTTATTGGAAGTTGCAAAAAATAATACTTTCATTCAATAATTTATTTTTCATTTGTTAGTTGGAATATTTTACATACATTGGAATATTTTTATATTGATGCTACTTTGATATCCACTAAGCAATAGTGTAAGTTTATACAGGAAATAAGATGACTATTTGGTTCTTCTATAAGCCAGTTTTTAAAATAATGAGTTGGGTTACCATAATCCAAAGCTGGTCAGTTCATTTAAAAAAAAATTATTAGTAATTCATGACTTTAATGTATTTGGAGACTTCAATCAATTGTAATTATACTTTTTAAAGCTGAGTATATTATTTTTTTGTTCAACAGAAGTCCCTCAATTTGGTTCTAGAATAATTTGTCATGGTCTTAGTAGTTTTCTTGCTGTCTGGTATGAAAATGCATTTCAGATTCATATCATACTTTTCCTACAACAGGTCTGGAATGAACAATTTTCTCCAAAAAGCCTTTGTTTCCTCTTAGACATATTTCAAGACCATAATCTATCTGGGTACAAGGATGACTGTTACTGGATTAGAAATGATTTCTAGCTTCTTTGATGGACAGAGTAGGAAATGTGCATACATACATGTGCATGCATGCACACACACACACACACACACACACACACACCAGAACACCTCAAATTCATACTGATACTTCCAATTCAAATTCAGAACCTCAGAGCATTTTACTTAAACTCTTATCAAAATTCCTATTGTCCACACTAGAAATTCTGCTATTCAAGGACCTAGAAAATAACAGAAAATTAGCATATTCTATAATCATTTATTTTAACCCACATAAGTCTCAGATCAAGAAGTAATTTTTTGCCCAAGTGCTCACCATTTTCTTCCCATTTTGGTTTTTGCTTATTAAAATGATTACGACTCTCATATTGCTTTTTCTGCACTGTTTCTTTCATATATTTCCTATCCCATTTCTTCCTTTTCTGGCTCCTGTTGTTTACATTCCTTGTAGGGAACTGGTACATGCACACAATACATCTTAATTCCTTTTTAATCCCTTTTTCCTTTTTTCCCTCCTCCATCTCTTGATCCCTTTCCTTTTTTCTTTTATAAATGTTAATGTCATATATTATCATCATAATTTTACATATTTTATGGGGATACCATAGTACATTTCAATAAATATGTATGTGTGGTGATCATAATAATTAATGTATTCATGACAAGGATTATTTCTTTGTGTCCGGAACATTTGAAATCATTGCAAGTAGCTATTTTGAAATATAAAATGAGTGTTGTCAGTCACAGTTACTGTACTATGATATAGACCATTAGAAGTTACTTTTTAAATTTAACTTCACAGCTGTCCACATTAACCATCTTCTCCATAACCTCACCACTCACCTTTTTCAGCAGTGCCAGTAATTTTATAACTGAAGTTTCTGAGGTCATTTATTCCTTTGATCTAGTTTCATTATTTGTATGTTTTATGCCTTGCTCTTTCTTAAACCAGTGATCTGAGGCAACCATGTTTCCCATTATAATTATAGATTTGTGTACTCCTTTAATTTGATTTTCACCTTATAATCTATAGCTGAGTAGTGAGGCACACATATTTAGAATTGTTAGTTACAGATTGAACCTTTTATCAGTATAGATTTTGCTCCAACTCTAAAACAGTTGTTTGCCCTGCAATCAATTCTTAGTACTTGTATTTTGTTTAATTACTCCATAAAATTTGCATTTCCACATTTCTCCTTTAAATCTGTGTATATCATGGTATCTGACATCTGTATCTCATCATGAGCATTTGGAAGATGTCAATAGGGCCTCACCAGGCCCAGTGAGACTGTCTAGTGGGTAGCATGGGTGGTATGGGCGGTGCCTGAGTTACCCTAACTCTGCATTTCTAAGGATAAGTGTTTCAGCATTGTTTCTGCCTTCTGTGGCCATTTGTCCTGCTGATACAGCTGCTACAAGGGTATAAGGGAAATCAGAAAAAGATGCAGTCCTTCAAGACCTACCATAGATTAAAACACACTAAAGAAGCCAGTGGAACTTAAAAAGTACAAGTATAGGAATAGAACAGTAAACCAGAGAAAGCATGAACTGTTTTGTAGATGACGTTGTAAAAACTAGCTCATTATAGAAAGAAAAAGAAAAATCAATTTTCATATACTATCACGTACAACTGTGGACTCCAGATGGATGAATAAAATTAATATGAACTATGAAATTATAAAGAAAAAGGACCAGGGATTTAGCTCAGTGGTTCCAGTGTGTGCCTCGCAAGTGCAAGGTCCTGAGTTCGATCCCTGGCACCCCCTCAAAAAAAATTATAAAGAAAAAGTAAAAGAAAGTAGGAAAATATCTTTGTGATTTAGGAGTGAGGAAGGTCTTCTTCAGAAAGATTCCCAAAGCACAAAGTATTTAACAAAATAGCTCATGTTTATTACATCAAAAAAGAAATATCTGTTAAATAGAAGCTACCAAGGACAAATTAAACCAGATGACATTTTGGGAAAAGAGAGTTGCAATGTTTAAAACCAACATGAGATTAATGTCTAGACTGGATTGTGGGTTTGTAATAGTAAGGTGAAAAACCCAACAGAAAAATGAGCATACAAAAAGGCAATTTATAAGAAGAGGAAAACAAGTGGGCAATTTGTACATGAAGATATGCTTAAACTCACAAGTTATCAAATAAATGCAAATTAAACAGTGAGACAACTCACAGAAACACCGGTGTACAACTAACATCTAGGAACTGGCCACTATACCAGAATATGTGATGTGCATATGAGTGGAATGTCCGGGGCCAGGGATTTAGCTCAGTGTTTTTGCCACCTGCTGCACAAGCGCAAAGACCTGAGTTCAATCCCTGGTACTAAAAAAAAAAAAAAAAAAATGAATGGAATGTCTATTATAGCCAAGACGGCTCAACAGCCAGTTGTCACTAACCAAGACCAGTCTAACTGCTTGTACTTCTGAATGTCCGACTTGTCAGCAACAGAGATGAGCAACATTAAGTCCTTGATATGCCACCATTTCTTAAGAAGACCAACCATCTCTGTGGCCAAGTATGGCTTACTACATTAGGGCCCTTCTGCTGGGCATTATCAGGATTCCTTAGAGAAATAGAACCAGTGCTGTAGGAACCAGCCTACGAGCTGAGCTTGACTCTGACCAAGGAGTGACAAAGATGAAAAATAAAGAGACACAGAAACAAGTTAAAATCTTGGGGGCCAGAGGCCTCATGTCGCCCTTCAACATAGAGCCCCTAATGACTGGTGCACCTTGGCTTTATTCAGACATGGCACAAGCAATTAGAGTTTCACAGAATTCATCTGTCTTCCACCCTCCATGGTACTTCTCCAAGTAAATAACTTAAACTCAGGTGTTTTTAATTTTCCCTGCAACATGTTAGCAGGTTTGCATGCCCTCTCCTCAGTGCTCACTAAAGAGGAGCCCAGTTAGGCCTCATTCTTCCCTGCTGATCTCCACACGGTGGTATATATAGAGACATATGGGGAGATTTATTATGGGAATTGGCTCACACAGGAGATCAAGAAGTCCTGAAACCTTCTGTATGCAAGAACAAGGAAAGCCAGTAGTATAATTCAGTCCAAGTCCATAGGCCTGAGAACCGAGTGAGGGGTGGCTCTAGGGGAGGCCCAAGAACTCTGCTGATCATGGGCATAAGATGGATACCTCAGCTTGTGTGAATTCCCTGGAGAGACGTAAAAGAAACATCTACCTCTGAACAGAGAGGGAGCCAACAGTCCAAAGAATAGCTCAGACAGTCCAGCTTGGTGTGAAAATGAGTGTATTAGGGCATACTCACAGAGCAGGGGATGACTTGTGGGCTGCAGTTATCACCAAAATTGCCATGCACCCTGTGCTAGGCTACTGGTTTTAGGTAACATTAATTAAAATGTCAAAAGCAGGATCAAAAGCAAGAAGGGTCCTTGGGAAAAGTCGTGTGTACTCTGTTCCCCTCCCATCCTTAGCAGGAAATTGTTGGTCTTAGCAAGTGCTATGTGGCTTTAGTGATGGATGGCCTTGTGCTACAGTCTAGCACACAGCCTCAGGACTGGGCTACTTGGTAGGGACCCACTGAAAATAGAATTACTTTGAGTATGGTTCAGAGGACAACTCACACTACACTCCATTCCTTCTTCTGGCTTGTCCAGTCTTTCCAGTCCCTCTTCTGTGATGTTCCCTGAGCCTTGGAGGGGGTGTTAACTCCTTTGACTAGAGCTGAGTACTGGGCTGTTACTCCACAGCAACTGTATAGACTGAAGCAGTAGACATTCATTCCTAGAAAGACAAAAACAACAATGAAGAGTACATGTCCCCAGTAATCAGGTCAAGAGCCTAGCTAATGTGTAAAGGCATCATAAACATTTAAGTGATCTATATCATGAATGCTGTCTTTAAGTGATTTAAAGTATCTGGTATATTAACTCATTATCTAAAACTTTTAATGCAGTTTCAAGCCCTTGCACCTTGTGAGGAATGATTTCCAATCTCCACTCCAAGGGTTATTTTATATCCTCCAGGTGTTTTTCTAAATCTTTAAGACACCCAGAGATTAGCATGATCATCAATTGTGTAATGAAACATTTTTATAGTGTGTGGGCAAAGTACAAGTCAATGTCCTGGGCCATCATCCATGGCACTTGAAAGGTCCATTGTTCCCATTCCATGAGAAAGCAAACTGGTCCTAGGATTTAGCAGCTAAGGGAATACTAAAGGAAGCATTGGCAAGACCCAAAAAGTATAACAAGGTCTCATAGGCTGCCTCAGTTGTTCAGTCATAGTAGTAATGTTGAACACAGAGGAATGGATGGGGCCATCACCTTAACTCTTCTGTAATCCATAGTCATTCCCAGAAGCCATCGTTTTGATTTTTTTTTTTTTAAATCAGCCAGCCTGAACTGTTAAATGGACCTAGTACTAAGTGAACAATCTCTACCTTTTCTAATTCCTTCAGAGGGGCTGTGATTTCTGTTAATCCTTCTGGCAGTTTGTACTGCTGGGTATTAACTATCCTGCAGGAGGACGGGGGTGGGGGTAGGCGACATCACTGGCTCCCATTTTGCCTAGCCTTACATCCCTACCTTTACAGTTCGTACTCTCGGGTGGAATTCTCTGACTGGGGTGTGAAGGATGTACCCTGATAACACAGCCATCCCTCGTATGTTCTCACCCATGGGGGAATATATGAACAGTATATTCCCTGACTGGATAGTTGCCATCCCTACTACTAGTGTAGTCTTCTTTACCTGTAGTATTCTGTCTTCTTATTCATCTATAGCTGCACTTGTGGGGGCTGTCAGGAATTAGCTGTGTTCTGTCCCAGTGTCCTCTAGGGCCCATGTGTTTTGTACATTAGTAGAGGACCAATGTATCTGCAGCTTAACATAGGGCCTCTTGTTGTCCTGTGTGGCTCTTACTTGCAGGTACCCCCTAACTTATCCCCCTGACAGAGGAGGGGCTGAGGAGATTGCTACCTAATGAGGTTCTCTCTTCTTTTTCAACAGGGGATGCTGAGGGTCCAGCACATACATCCTCCTTGTTTTTCTGTATAAATGAATTGTTTTGATTTTAGAGCTCTTCATAAATTTAGAAAGCAGAATTGAGCTTTTTTCATTTAAAAAAATTTTCTTAGTACATTTTAGAAATACATAATGATCACATTCATCATAGGGATTTGTATCTGTATGTAATATATCTTGCTGCTTCTTTTTTTCCCATCCCCTTCCCCTTCCTTCAACCTATTTTCCCCCTTCTTATTTACAAAGGTTTTGTTTCCATTTTTTCTCTCTATTCTCTTTATTTTTCTTGTCACTTTTTTCCTTTTCACCTCCTCCATCCCTTGTTCCTCTTCCTATTTGAACATTTTCTTCCCATTTCCCAATATCTATTATACATTTTGGTCCTTATTTATACTTTTGTTTTCTCATACCCGAGAAACAATGTAATACTGAAACAATTTGTGTCCAATTTATTTAATTTAAGAGTATGGTTCAAGGTGCACTCATTTACCTAGAAATGTTTTGAGTGTGTCCTTCTTTGTGGAAGAGTAGTACTCCATTGTATAAAAAACATCTTCTTTATCCATTTATTGGTTGGGCATTTGGACTGTTTCCAAGATTTTCCTATTACAAATTATGCTGCCATAAACATAGGTGTGCATATATCTCTCTGGTATGATGCTTTTAATTATTTTGGGAAGACACAAAGAAAGGAAATAGCTGGGTCAAATGGAACCTCTAGCTTTAGTTTTCTGTGGAATCTCCACACTGATTTCCACAGTGGTTGCACCAGTCTACACTGCCACCAACAATAGAGAAGGGTTCCTTTTTCTCCACAGTCCCCCAGCTATGGTTATTGGTTGATTTCTTGATAATAGCCATTCTTCTGGAGTGAGATGGAATCTCAGTGTTGTTTTAATTTGCAGCTCTTGAATGACCAGTAATGTTGAACAATTTTTCATATATTTATTTGTCGTTTCATCTGAGAAGGGTCTGTTCATTTCTGATGCCCATTTTTAGATTGGGTCTTTAAATTTGAGGGATCTGATTTTTTTGAGTTCTTCATATATTCTAGATATTAGTCCTTTGAGGAACAGCTGACAAAAATTTTTTCCCTCACTGTGGGTTGTCTCTTCACTCTGTGAATGAAGATGAGATCCCAGTTATTGATTCTTTGTGATATTTTGTTCATTAAGTCTTTGCCTACACCAATGTCTTGAAGAATTCTAGGGCTGGGGATTTAGCTCAGTGGTTCCGCCACCTGCCTCGCAAGCGCAAGGTCCCGAGTTTGATCCCTGGTACCAAAAAAAAAAAGAGTCCTACCTATTCTATCTACCAGAAGATTTAGTGTTTCTGTTTTAATATTTTGATCTTTGATCAATGTTGATTTTAGTTTAGTGCATGGTGAAAGATGGAGGTCTAATTATTATTATTATTTTTTTTTTGGTACTGGGGATCAAACTCTCATCCCTCCGCTTTCGAGGCAGGCAGCAGAACCACTGAGCTAAATCTCCAGACCTGGAGGTCTAATTTTAATCTTCAGCATGTATAAAGACAGTTTTTCCAGGACCATTTATTAAAGAGGCTGTCTTTCTTCTAGTGAAAATGTTTGGCTCCTTTGGCAAAGATAAAGTGGCTGAGTGCATTTGGAGTTGTTTCTACATCTTCTAATCTGTTCCATTGATCCTTAGATTCTACATAATTTTGGAGAAAAAAATCATTTCACAATTAAATTATGTTAGCCCTAGTCTTCTGGCCTACAGGATGGCTATGATGTGCCAAAACATAACTCCACTTTTGCCTTCAGTCACAGCTGAGACCTCAATGGTCCCATGATGCTGTGACACTCAAGGGCAAGATTATATCATCTGAAGACATCCTGATTCCTTGACAACTGAGAAGTAGGAGAAAGGTTTCACCTGAGGAGAGACAAATTCCTTAACAGGTTAACTCATCCCATCTATTGTTGTAAGAACATTGTTGCTCATTTTACCATCCTAATCAACACAATTTCTTCATCAGTATAAGATCCTCATGGTCATAGGATTACCACCACCCTCCTAAACATCTGATACTTACTACAATTATAAGATCCTTGTTAACTTAGGTTTATTGATGCCCTCTGAGTCATCTGGTACTCCCTGTGAACCCAATAAATCACGGAAAGCTAGGAGTGCCTTCATCTTTGCTGCCCAGAGGAGTATTGATCAGGCCTAGAACCCAGCTTCTTCTCCAAGTCTCATTTCCTGTCTTTATTCTTTAATTTGCCTTGTGCTGTCATGGCTCACAGGAGACAGAGACCCACTGCAGGGATTCTGGTAACATCCCCTTTCCCTGTTCCCTACACCTTAGGTCTGGGTTTTTTTGGTGTGTTTTTTTTTTTTTTGTCAGTACCATGCTGTTTTCATCAGTAGCTTTGTAATTTCTAGCCAGGGATTGTGATGGCCCCTGCCTTGCCTTTGTTGTCCAGAATTATTTCTGCTATTGTAGGTCTCTTCTGGTTCCAAATGAATTTTAGAATTGTTTTCTCTTATTCTGGGAGATATGCTATTGGCATTTTGAACATGCTTGCATTAAATCTGTATAACAATTTTGGAAATATGGCCATTTTCATTATATTGGTTCTTCCTACCCAAGAACAAGGGATATCTTTTGATTTTCTGATATCCTTTTTGATCTTCTTTTTCAGAGTACCATCATTTTCAATGTAAAGGTCTTTTATTTCCTTCGTTGTATTGATTCCTAGGTATTTCATTTTTTTGGATGCTATTGTCAAAGGTGTTGTTTCCTTAATTTCTCTCTCAGTGAGTTTGTTATTTGTATACAAGAATGCTATTGATTTTTGAGTGTTGACTTTGTATTCAGCTAAGCTGCTAAATTTGGTTATTAAATCTAGAATTCTTTAAGTGGAGTTTTTGAGGTCTTTTCTGTAAAGTCTCATATTATAAAAGACCCAATCAAAAAATGAGCAACCAAAATCAATAGATACTTCTTAGAAGAAGTACCAATGGCCAATAAATATATGAAAAAATGTTCAATATCACTGGCCACCAGAGAAATGGAAATTAAAACAATATTGGGATTCCATCTTTCCCTAGAAAGAATGGTTGTCATCAATAAATCAAATAAAAACAAATGCTGGTGAGGCTGTAGGGGAAAAGGAGCCATTCTATATTGTTGATGGAAATGTTAACTAGTACAACCACTATGGAAATCAGTATAGTCTCAAAAAACTAAAAGTAGAAATTCTATTTGACATAGCTATTCACCTTCTAGGTGTCTTCCTGAAAGAGTTAAAGACATCATATTACAGTGATATATGTTTAACCGTATTTACAGCAGCACAATTTATAACAGCTAAATCTTGGAAGTGGCCTATATGTCCAGCAACAGATAAATGAATAAAGAAAATGTGGTATTTATTCACAATGGTGTACTCCTCTGCCATAAAGAAGGATAAACTTGAGTCATTTGAAGGAAAATGGATGAGCTTTGAGACCATAATGTTAAGTGAAATAAATCAGACACACATGTTTAAATATTGCATGGTTTCTCTTATATGAGAAACTCATAACATAAATAATTAAAGAGTCAAATAAAGATAGGCAACAAAAAAACCCCAAGGAGATAGATCTTTCTGAAATGGGAAGGGGACCAAGAGATGAAGAAGGGGAGAAAGAGGAGGGGAAAGGGATGTAAAAAAAATTAAAACATGTATCAACTCTCCACAATGAATATAATCATTATACACTGCAAACATCTACTAATAAAATAAAAAATTAAAAATAGTATTGCAAAATCCCCTACAAAACCAACAAGAAAACAAAAACAGCCTCCTGCATTCCCAGCTACTGTAACATCACCTGCCACTCCTTGATAGTCTTTCATTCCTTAATATCCATACAGACTTCTGCTGATGGCAACCAGTTGTCCCTGATGGCCCATATGAGCCAATTTATAGGAGAGTGGGTCCCCTCATATTGCTGGAGGTTATGCAATCTGTCTTAGGGAGGGACAAGTTATTACCTTGATCACCTTTTCTGCCTCTATGATGCTTGAGTTGATCCCATTGGCTCCCATATCCCAAAGCCTCATAAGCCAAGCAGTCAGAGGCTCTTTCACTGCTTGCTTGAAAGTTTTTCCTAACTTAAGCAGTTTGGAGGCAGAGTATTCCCTCATGATCAGAGTCTCCTAAATAGGACTGTTATTAATGCCTCTGTCCATATGCTGAATCATGGACTTTCCCTTCTTTTGTATTAACAGATTTGGGGAGTGTCATCCACAACTTTTACCCTCATTTCTTCCTCCTCTTCATTATCTGACTCTTCCCACAAATTCTAGATCTTTGGTTTCCAGGTGGGATTTGTTAGCACAATGTGGACCTGTGCTCTCTTTTCCTTTTGCCTCCCTACCCCCAGCCATAAGAAACAACAGTATAGGACTTCCATCTCATCCTCCCTTTTATCTAATTTCTTTCCCAAATCAGAGGCCAAAGCAGAGGACACTAATCACATATCCTTTTCATGTTGGAGTTCCTCCTTCAAGCAAGTAATTTTCCTCTGGGAAGACAATGCACCCTCAGTAGCATATCTTCCTGCTCACAGCAGGGGCCATGCTACAGCAGCTATAGTTCTCTTGCAATCCAGTCCCACACAGACTATACCTTCAGGGATTGCAGGATGCTCTCCAGTCCATTAGGCATTTGGGGGTTATCCTTGTACTCATGCAGTGGACACTCATCTAGGAGGTGCACCATCCTATACCACATGAAGGAAGACCACCACCCCAGGATTCTGCCTGCTGCCACCTCAGACAATCATCTTGGGATCTTTCAGGTCCCTGTTCAAACACCAGGTGTTGGATGGGTTTTCTGTAAAGATATAAAAGAAACGTCTTCCTCTGAACTGAGAGGGAGCCAACAGTCCAAAGAACAACTCAGACAAGCCTGGCTTGGCAAGTGAATGAGTTTATTTAGGGATTACTTATAGAACAGCGGATGACTTGCAGGCTGCAGTACCACCAAAGTAACCCCCCACCCCAGGCTACTGGTTTTATGGAGCACTAATTAGAACAGCACATGGAGGATCAAAAGCAAGAAGGGTCCTTGGGAAAATTGTGTGTACTCTGTTCCCATCCTATCCTTATCAGAAAACTTTTGGTCTCAGAAAGCATTATGTGGCTGTGGTATTGGATCACCTTGTTGTGTACATAGCCTCAGCACCTAGCTACCTGGTGGGGCCTACTGAACAGCTAAGTAGGGGACTAGCAAGGAAAAAGTATAGTTACATGGTGGAAGTAACTCATCTTGATCAGCAGAGAGGATAGGGCTGCTTTTACATAATAGCAGCAGGAAGAAATATATGTGGAACCTAGGAGATGCACTTTGATGCCTCCTAGTATGAAGAAATGTGTGCAGCACCTCTGAACTTAGGCAGGACTACCAAGCTTTGGCACTTCAGGGTTGTGAGGTATACACCACCAACTGAGCTACCAACACCTGATGAGAGGACTTCTGAGGGCGAAGGGACTTTAGAAAGGGCATTGGAAGAGGCAGTGGGTGAGCTGCAGCCCTGAGATCTACTACTGTGATAAAGGTTGCAGTTCATCTCTCTGATCTTGTTAGCTCCCCCTCAGGAGGAAAGGCTGATGGGACCCATAGAAGCATTGTTCCTTAGACTGTGTTAGAAAGTAGACCTGTGCAGCAAAAGGTTTCAGTGTGGCAGCCATGAGAATGTGCCCACTGACCCAAGCCCCATCTGCTGCCTGTGAAATACAACCCTGAGTTGTGCAGAGGACGCTCCTTACAGGGTGCTCCCAGCCAGGGATGGTGTGGCAATTCCCAGAGTTCTAGGACTTCTCTGATGGCTGAGTTTGGTTTGAGGACTCTCTCATGACTTGCTGAACCTTCCTTGGACAAAGACTGCTGTGGATAAGTCAGCCTAGGATGCATCCCACCAAGATTCTTTCACACTTTCATTGTGATCACAGCCTAACACAGCTTTTCCCCACTTTTAGAAATCACATTTCTCCTAATAAAGTCCATACACAGTTAACCTTATCATGTTATCTGCTTCCCAGTGTTCTGGAAATCTTGGAAAGAAAATACATGGAGACACAGAATTTGGGTAAAATAATAAAATTTCTACGCATGAGTGGGCGGGACCACCAGAAACTGGTCTGTTTAGTATCCGCTCCCCTTTGTTCAGCGTTTCTCTTATTATATCCTTTTGAGCCATTATCTCATCCCTAGTGGTCTTTGATGTGTAAATACAATTCCAGTTCCTATTTACAAGTCACAGACACAAGATAGGCACATATACATTGTAAATTCACCCTGGCATTGCAACTTTGTTAGGTTAATGAAGTTACTGGTTAAAGAGTCAGATAACCATCACCTTAAACAAGGAGTTACAGGAAAACCAAATCTTAAAAGAACACATTACTTAGTTTGCTTCTACAACTACCTTAATATTCAGTCTATTAAATTATCTAAAACTTTCCCCTATCATTCCTCCCTCTGTTTACTTCAGGATAATTCTTCTATCCATTATAAGTTCTATCCAGTTTATCTACATTTCTTAACACTAGAATTTGGTAGTGTTGAGCTGTAGCACTGCGCTACTGTGCAAATTTTGAAATCTATTGGATGACACAAGGACCAAACATTAATACTAATATTACAACAAGAAGGGGACTCAGAAGAGGTCCTATCCAAGTTTTTTTTATCCTGCCCAAGTAAAATTAATCCCATAGGACAGCTCTCCTATACCAAATTTCTCATCAAGAGCCTTGATCTGATCTTTTAGTTTGTCTAGTGATGCTTGCACTACACCAGATTTATTAGCATAATAACAACACTCTTTACCAAGAAATAAGCAAGTCTCTCCTTTCTGGGCTGTGAGCAAATCAAGAGCATGCCTATTGTGTAACATGACATTGGCCAGTGAATCTAGTTGGGTTTCTAAAGCCTGAAGTGTGTCTCAAATTTCCTCAAGATCTTTTCCAATTTCTTGTCCTATTGAAGTATATTACTCCTTGTAGCCAAATAAGATCCCATGGGGCTGGCATATACACAGATAAAGGATTACATTGACCTTGTTTAGAATTGTTACAATTACCAGCGGCTCATCCAACAAGGGAGCTGTTGATCCAAATTTGTTTTTTCTCTTTGCAATATAAATTTTCATTATAATAGCCCCCCACAGTCAGAAGTTACCCCAGGTCCCCCATAATGTTGTTTTAGGCAGGGATCAAAGAATATTATAAACAGATAGCCTTCCAGTTCCCATTTTACCATTTTAAAAGTCACATATTGTTTATCAAACTTTTCATTACTAGGCCTAAACGCCTGCAGTTTGAAAACAAAGAAACTTAAAGCAGTGGTGATCTGGCACAACACAATAATCCATGTCGTCCTTGTTGGTGCTTCCATTCTTCAGCTGTGCATTGACTCACCAGCCTCTGGAGTGGTGAGAGCAGGGCTTTGAGTGCGTTGTCTTTCTTGGCTTTCAGCATCGATCTCCGTGTGGGATTTTTTCACTTGGGAGTGGTGGATCTAAGGTTGGATCTCAGTGACCTTTACAGCTGTGGGAGTAACCATAAGTGTAACATACAGTCCTTCCCATATAGGTTGCAAGGATGTCTTTTTTCAGCTTTTAACATAAATTAAATCACCAGGTTTAATCAAATGTGCAGGAGTCATAGTGGGTAGGTTTTCCTTTGATCTCAACTGATCTTGCATATTGTTAAATGCTTTACCTAATTCTAGCATTTGCAATTCCATAGTGGAAGTTACCAATTGAGTAAGGTTACCTGTAAAGTCCCTAAGTATGCAAGGGGGTCTTCCCAACAATATTTCATAAGGAGTGAATCCTATATGGCCTGGAATGTTTCTTATTTTTGATAAGGCCATACGGAGCAAGTCTATCCATGGTCCCTGTGTAGTTAGACAATACTTAGTTAAGGCACTTTTAATAGTTCTATTCATCCTTTCTACTTTCCCAGAACTTTGTGGCCTGTATGCAGTATGTAAATACCATTTGATGGGTAACATTCTAACCAAAGTTTGGAAAGTATCTGTTATAAAAGCTGGTCCATTGTCACTCCCCGTATAGAATGGGAGGCCAAAGCAAGGAATAATCTCCCTTAACAGAACTTTACACACTTCTGAGGCTTTTTCTGTTCAAGTAGGGAAAGTCTCAGGCCATCCAGAGTAAGTACAGATGCAAACTAACAGATACTTATAACCTCTACAGGGTGGCAATTCTGTAAAATCCACTTGGATACCCTCAAAGGGGCTAGTACCAGCTCTTTAAACTCCTGGGAGTGGTTTTGGTCCTGTTGCACAATTTATTTTCTGGCAGGTCTGACATCTCTGAGATACCTGTTCACATAGAGCAGCCACATGAGGAATATAGAAATATTTTTCTAGTAACTTCTGTAGTGCAGTCTTGCCTCCATGCATTAACTCATGATACCACTTTACCCAGTAATAGGGTGAAGCTTCAGGAATAACTAATCTCCCTTTTGGAAGTACTCAAATGTCTCCTTGTTTTTCTGCAAGCTATTCCTTAGCCCAGATGTTCTCCTTGTCTGAATATATTATAGGAATCTGTGGCTTCTGAGCACTTGTCATGGAGCTTGTGTCTGAGTCAGCACAGCCATCGGTAATTTTTGCGTGGCTTCCATGTCTGTTCTATTACTACCTTGTATAACAAAGTCTTTGTCTTTCTGAAGTCCTGGGCAATGAATTACTGCAACTTTGCTAGGTTCCCACACTGCCTCTAGTGACTGTATAATTTCCTGTTTATTTTTAATTAGCTTCCCTTCTGCCATGAGAAGACCTCGCTCTCAGTAAATCATGCTAATGATGTGTAATGTAGCAAATGCATAGCAAAAGTCCATATATATATATTTACCCTTTGCCCATTGGAGTGCCTGTATGAGTGCCCAGAGCTTAGCACACTGTGCCAACTAAGGAAGGGGCTCTGGCTAGGATCACCTCATCCTTTGTGGATACCACATATCCAGCATGACAAACCCCATTTTCCATGAAACTGCTCCCATCCATAACCAGAAAGAGGTCAGCATCAGACAAGGGTGTCATTTGTAGGTCAGGGCAGCTGGAAAAGAGCTCATGGATGATACTCAAGCAGTCATGGTTGGGAGGGCCTGTCTCCATGGGCAAGAAGATAGCAGGATTTAAAGCTTTTACAGAAATAAACCATAAGTGGGGATTCTCACAGAGAAGGGCTTGGTACTGAGTAACCCGATTATTTGAGAGCCATCAATGCCCTCTTGTGTTCAACAGTTCCAAGACCGTGTGTGGAACCTGCACAGTCAGTTCCTGACCTAAAGTCAGTTTGTCTGCTTCTTGGATTAATAAAACTGAGGCCGCCAAGGCCTGAGGGCAAGGAGGCCACACTTTTGCTACTGGATCTAAATTTTTAGACAACTATGCCACTGGTTGGTTCCATGGCCTTGCTTCTTGGGTTAATACTCCAAGGGCCATGTGGTTCTTTTTAGTCACATGAAGAACAAAAATCTGCTTTACATTCAGTATGCCTAAAGCAGGGGCGGCTGCTAAGGTCAGTTTTAGTCTCTTAACTTAAAAACCTTTTTTTTATAGCCCAAAGTAAATGATTTTTTTTTTCTTTAGAGCTTCATAAAGAAGTTTAGTGATCTATGCAAAACCAAGAATCCAAATTCTACAGAAGCCTATCACCCCAAGAAACTTCCTCAGGTCTGGGGATTTGGCTCAGTGGTTTCGCCGCCTGCTGTGCAAGTGGAAGGATCTGAGTTTGATCTCTGGCACCAAAAAATAAAAATAAAAAATAAAAAAATAAAAAAGGAACTCCCTCAGCTGTCTCTTATCTCGTTCATCTTTCCTCTTAGCCTATTCCTTCTCTCTTGCTGAATCTCTTCTCACATACACTTTTTTTAGTCAATTGTAGCAACTGTGTTATATTCATACCCTCCCAAGTTTCTTGCTTTTGAATTTTCTTCTAATATCTTGGGCTGACTGGGTCACAAAGTCATATTGATTAACTAACTGATGGTTATCAGGAACAGCAGGATCAAAAGGTATATACATTCTGTAAACTTTACAGAGCTACTCATAAAGTCTCTCAGGGCTCTCATCAGGCTCCTGGGGTGTTTCTAGCACTTTAATCATATTTATAGGCCTTGTACTTGCGGCTTGTATCCCTGCCAGGAGGGCCATCTGATAATTGCTTAAGCTGTCCTGGCCTCCTGGGGTGTTGGGGTTCCAATTGGGCCACTCATTCACTGGAAATTGCTGTTTATGTCAAGCATCTGGATTTTGTGTGCCTGCTGGCATTCTAGGAACATTGATCTTTTTAATTTTTCCTAAAACTCTCTGCATTTTTTTAGAGGTTATCAAAGTTTTACAAAGTTCTTTACAGTCCTCCCAGTTAGGACAATGGGTAGCAAAAATGGAATTAAATAATTGAAGCATTTTGGAGGGGTCTTGGCAGAGAATAAATGACTTTCCTTTTCTCTGGACCTAGCCTCCTTTGTCTTTTTTTAAGTCAAATCTCAAATAATGCACCTTGGTCTGACATATTTGTGCCTTTTTCCAACAGTCTTTTTTTCTAACTCACTATAAAGGAGGAGGTCATATTGTAACCTGTTGGCTCTTAAACCCTTTGAAGATGACCAATGTACACATATTATAGTAACATATTTAGAATTTAACCCCTTGATGACAACCAATGTAAACATATTTAAACTTTTCATAACAAACTTGAAACCAACAAACAAACATGCATATTTTTGATAAATCACTTTTCCACATCTTTTGACATACCTAGGCCTTCTGGTCTTGTATATATATATTTTTATCTTTCTAACAAAACAAACATACAAAAATTTTTTTATATCAGAATTGTACCTCTTTTTCTTATAGCTTTTTAATATATTTTTTTTATCTCACTATAGACCTTTTATCACAAACTTGTCTTTAGCTGTTAAAATTTTAAAGTGTCCCTTTTTTGTTCTCAGATTGTTACACTTTGAATTTGGTTGGCTGCCAATAGAACAGTAGTAAACTTGAGGGTTTTTTTTAATCAATAAAGTACAGAAAAAAGCAAGTTAACCCTATAATTACAATTGAAGAATTTGCAATGTACAAGAAATACTTTAAGCACACCAATTAAACATCAACTCAAACTGAAACACAGATATATTTATCAATTAGCTAAAATTTGTAACTTTTCAAACTGAAACACAGATACATTTATCAATTAGCTAAAATTTGTGACTTTTTAAACTGAAACACAGATACATTTATCAATTAGCTAAAATTTGTAACCTTTGTAAAATTTCTTACTTTTTCTGGCTTTGTTTTATGTCCTTCAGAGCTTTTTTTTTTTTTTAGCTGTTTTTAATCCATCACTTATTTTCTCTTTCTATTTTTTTTTTTTAATTTGAGTGTAAGCCTTATTTGATCCTCTCTGAGTCTGACCACAGCATGCACCCTCTGGTGCTCTGAAGCCAAGCAGTTCTCATGCTTTTGTCCCCACCTCCTCTGAACCTGTGAATTTAGCAACTCAAAAGGAGGGGGAAAGTCTAAATTCTCTCGGTCTGGATCTGAAAGGACCGGTTACTTTTCAGCATCGTCCCCTTTCTGACAGAGGACCAGGATATTGCTTTTTGCTTCTGGAGCACACATATGAAGCCAAGGAGGCATTCTGTGGCACAATTTGAGCCATAAAACAATATAGGGAAATTGATCTGGATGTTCCCATCCAGGGGCAGTGACTGTTAGCCAGATGGACCAGACAAGACCCTCACCTAGGGATCTCTCAGTTGGCCAAGCTAGGCAAAGCTTGGGCCATTCTAACTCACAAAAGGCTCTATCTAACTTTTGGGGTTTTATCATAATACTATAATTTCCAGTAAAACCTTTCTTAAAAATTCCTAAGCATGCATTCCAAAATAGTAGGATGAGATGTTTCTGTCCCCACGATCGGGCGATCAGAGTGTTGGTGTGTGTATGGGTATCCTTGTACACAGGTGCAAGACAAACAAAGGTGGGGGACCACTTGCTCGCCTGTCTGGCTGTGGGCCTCTTGGCCATTGTAAGTTCCGTTCAGGCTAAGGTGGGCTGTCCTCTAAGCTCACCATTGTGCATTTGTTAAACACGACCACACACAAATTCTGTGACTTGGGGAGGACTCTTTAAGCTCAAGCGCTTCCTCCCTGTCTTGTTTCGCAGCTCGTTCCACACACTCTCCTACCCAGAGCTCTTTTCACTCACACATTTATTCAGAAGTTATCACATTCCCTCCCAGTGACCCCCTAACCGTAACCAAAACAAATGAAAGAAGCTACCTCCCCAAATGGCAAAGCACAAGGGGTGATGGGGCCCCTGCACTATTTCTGCCCAAAGTTCACAAAGTGAATCAAAACAAATGGGAGGAGCTATCTTCCCGAATGGCAAAGCACAAGGAGTGATCAGGCCCCTGTGCTGTATTTGCCCAAAGTTACAAAATACAAATTCACAAGGCAAAACCGAAAGTTAACGACTAGGGGGTTTCCCGGCGTTTCTCACCCAGCAAAGGAAAGAGACAGATGAGACACCAAGAGCAATGGCCCTCCTTCTGTCATCTTCCATCTTGGGTTCGGGTGACCCTCAGCTGGTGAGCGGGTCTCTGTGTCCTGTTGGGGAGCCTAGGAAATTAGTCCTGGTTAGGGAACCAAATATTCTGGAAATATTGGAAAGAAAATACACGGAGACACAGAATTCGGGTAAAATAATAAAATTTCTACTCGTGAGTGGGCGGGACCACCAGAAACCAGTCTGGTTAGTATCCGCTCCCCTTTGTTCAGCGTTTCCCTTTTTATATCCTTTTTAGCCATTATCTCATCTCTAGTGGTCTTTGATGTGTAAATACAATTCCAGTTCCTATTTACAAGTCACAGATACAAGATAGGCATATGTACATTGTAAATTCACCCTGGCATTGCAACTTTGTTAGGTTAATGAAGTTACTCGTTAAGGAGTCAGAATACCTTCACCTTAAACAAGGAGAGTTATGGGAAAACCAAATCTTAAAAGAACACATTACTTATTTTGCTTCTACAACTACCTTAATATTCAGTCTATTAAGTTATCTAAAACTTTTCCCTATCACCAGAGGACTTCAATTTACAAAGCTTGTACATGAGAGGAGAAGAGACAGAAACATGAAGAGTAATAGCCAGGTGTGGTAGTGAATACCTGTAGTCCCAGTACTAGGTAGGTTGAGGCAGGAGGATGACAAGTTTAAATTCTACCTGAATGACTTACCCAGAGCTTGTCTCGAAATAAAAAAAATTAAAAAGAGTGGGGCTGTGTCTCAGTGGTAGTGTACCCTTGGGATTGATCCTCAGTACTAAAAAAAAAAGCACCTCCATGTTTTCTGACTTGGGTGACTGGGTGCTTGGTAACACTTAGATAGAATAAGGATCTCCATCTGAAGAAATAAGACATAACAGGGCAATGTATGCAGTAGGTCAAGGAGGGTGGGAATGGAAGGACAAAAGGAAGAAAAGGCAGAGGAATCTCAAATAGGAGAGCAGTTTCACCTGTTATACTGGCATTTATCGGTTGCAGATAAAGTTGCCCCTTCCCCCTGAGGCCTGGTCCTGATTCTTAAGGATAGCTTCAAATATCATCCATGGCTCAGAAACAGATTTTTGTGGAAACACGTATAAGTTTACCATGGAGTTTCTATTTTAGCTTAAGCTACTATAACAAAATAACACTGACTGGTTGGCTTAAACGTCATCTATAGCATTCTTATAGTTTTGGAGATGCTGGCAGATTCAGATTCTGGTAAGGGATCCCTTCCTGGCTTGTAAATACCCACTTTCTTACTGTATGTTCACATGTGTTTTCCTTGGTGCAAATGTGGAGAAAGAGAGAGAGAGAGAGAGTGGGAGAGAGAGAGAGAGAGAGAGAGAGAGAGAGAGAGAGAGAGAGAGAGTGATACTCTCCCCTTCTTGTAAAGGAATCTAAATATAATCACCTCTCAAAGGCCCCACCTCCAAATACCATCCATTGAAGGTTATTAGGGGATAGAGTTTCAACCTATGAATTTCAGCAGGACATAAATACTCAATCCATAGCAGTTTCTTTCAGCCATACTGAGATGTTCTCTCATTAACAGTCTTTATGACATCCTGTGACATGTGGACAAAGTACTGGTGGTTCTAAGATGTTTCCGATTCTTTACAGGATGAAGGAACTTTATAAACTCTGGCTTATAGAATGTAACCAAATGTAAAGTCCCTTCAAACAGTCCACTCTCAGAAAGAGTCTTCTGTAGGGTTTTTGTAGGCCTTGTTTTTCAGCCTTTTTAAGTGGATTCCTGAGGCACAACTTGTTTGCTGAGAACAATTTTTCTTATCTCTGCCTTTATGCCCCATCAACTCTTTTATCCTCAAGTACATTTAAAAAAGGGTGGGGTGATCATATGTGTGAATACAATAATTTCCAGAACAAATACAGAAACATATTCTTGGTAGTTAGGTAAGGTTTTGTAAACAGAGGCATGTTTAACTAGTATGGCCAAGCGAAGAACAAAAAGCCAGAAATACAAAGCAAGGACCATTTTATTGGAGTCAGCCGCACTACCATTGCGTCATGAGGTACTAGGAGCACTTTATTGGAGATGTACACTAGTTAAAAACATTTCTACTAGACAAGGAGATTTTTTTTACTCTGCCACTAAGTTATTGATTTTTTTGTAAATGTCTGTTTTATTCTGGATGGAATGCTGATAATGTCATTCCTCGGTACATATCCATTATTCTGTGCTTTCTCTATGGCTGCCCGATGCTATGCTATGGATTCTTTCTCACTCCACAGTGAAATGTCTCTGTCCTGGCCTTTTCCCTTCATTTATATCTAACCCCCCAGCTTTTGATCCAGCCACAGAAGAATGGGGAGAAGGAATTGGCAATATTGATAAGATACCACTGTGTATTATTTTTCCTCTTTTAATGGCTGATGCTTCTACAAGTTTATGGATTCCTTTTGCTTAACAAATGTGTTAAAAACTGGAACTGTGCTGCCAAAGCCTCCAAATCAAATAGGACAAGTATTGCTGGCTTGAACATTTCCTACTTGTCATAAATCTGAGTTGAAAGAAGCTACAGAATTATGAGGTGTGCTTTTCATGTGCAATTCAATTCAACAAATATTTATTGTTAAGAAAATTCCTTTAACTTTCCCTGCCTGATACAGCAGGTCCTTTATAGAAAGAGGGAGTTTATCCTTAAACACTTGACTATTTGTACTTGAAGTTATCATAAGGCTGAGGAGGTGGGGAAATATCCTTTCCAATCCTGGAGCTTTCCCCCCCTGCTCTGCTTCTTTATGTTAGCTCCAAACATCCAAGGAACAAAACTGTAAAACAGAAATAAGATTGGATTCAGAGATTTTTTTTTCCTATCCTGTTTATTTACTTGGGGCTATACCAATCCACCTTTCCTAAGAGCTTGCCAGTCAGCAGCAATTACTCAGGGTTCATAGTGTGTTGTACTGACCAAATTTGGCTGTTAAAATGGAGAACTCTCTCACCTAAAGCAGAAATTCCTAAGAAAGTAGACAACACCTGGATGCATAAGTGACTGTCACTGTCTGAGTGTTCAGACCCAGCCATTCATTGCTCAAAGGCAAGTACCTCTTTGTACATCTGTAATCACATATCTACATTAGGTTCTTAGGAGTTATTTGGCTGGCTGGGGGCCTGGGATTATATAGTAAAGAAATTTGAACGAATTTTGAACAGAGTGTAATGTGCAATGGAGGGTCAGGGCAGTGACATTCCGTAGGGAAGGTGATATGTAGAAGGAGATGTAATTGGCATCCAAGTTTAAGGTACTGAGGCAATGTGTAGCCCCAAGATTCAGAGTTCCCTGAGGCCCATCCTTGTAGCCTCTAGGGATCTATGGAATTTAAGTTAAGATCTGCTGCTGTGAGACCCACTTGAACCAACAAGAGATTGGTGTGGTCCAAGCCACAGGCACGGCAGAAAGGATACTAGAAGGAAGGAAAGGCACCTCTGCTCTTCTCACCAGAGGGAAGGCAGAGGTTATGTCTGCGGGCCCTTGGACATTCTATGTGGAGTGGCTTAGACAAGAGGAGGCTTTCTCAGAAAGACTTGGGAAGGCCATCAAGCAGTGAGCCTAAAAGGCCCCAGATAGCTGTAACCGGGCTTCTGGATACATCTCACCAACTCTCACACAGGTTGAAGAATTCCTTCTTAAAAGTTCACTGGGAAATAGATTTTCTTCATCTGAAGAAATGAAAAATTTAATATTTTTATCAGGGAGTCCAGATACCATCTACATTTGTATAATTCCCTTTCTTTCCTTTTTGCCTTAGTGGAAAGTGAAAGTTGCTTCCTTGGATTAGAGAGCACTTTCATTCTCACAATGAGCCTGAGGGCAGTTATTTTCTCCACTTACAGGGGATCTGAGATTTTTCCTGGTGCCCTTAGCCTGTGAGAGATGGTGGTGTGACTTACAAGCCCAGCAGTATTTCCATCATTCCCTCTACTTAGTTCAACAGGACCAACCACTGTGCTTAGGATTTCATTGTATGGTCACATCATTCCTGCCTGACAATGAGTATTAACTTCTTCACTGCTTTCTGCCTTGACCATACATTCAGTGGCTTGAGCCCTTAGGCAAACAGTTGGAAAACACTAAGATGAATGACTCACCTAAGATTTGGGTACAAGGAATGTGTCATTTCTACAAATGCAGCTTTCTAGTTATCCCCAAACAGAGAGAAAGAGCGCTGATCTCCCCTCCCCTTTGTAGGCAAGAAAAGGAAAAAACCCAATGTATTGAATACTAAAGATCTTTGGAAAGATGCCAAAGCTCACTGAGCTCAGAATTGATGAGGTCCAGAGGAGGAACTGAGCTCCAAAAGGAAGAAGCATGTGGGCAGACAAGAGTTGTTTCTGGGATTCCCAGGAACAGTGAGGACTAGAGCCTTCACCAAGTAGGGCAACTTTAACTCCCTTAATGTAGGTAGGGCCTGTTATGTCAGATGGACAGTCTGCTTAGACAAGGACCTCCCTGTTCACCCCCAGAGCATCTTGGGGGATTGTGGATACCTGGTCATGGCTGAGGGCTCTGGACTTGAGGACAGGTGGTTTCTCTGAGTGGAGGTTCATTCCAAAGAGAATTGCTGAGTGCTCATTTCAGGGGCAAAGGGGAAAAGCCCATGGAGAGTGAAAATACCTTGGGAGGTGTGGGGATTGGCATATTAGTTGAGGGTGACAAAGCTGTCTCTTTGAGACTAGGAGGACACTCGTGCGCTGTAGGGGGGAATCAAGGCACAAGGATACTTCTTGCCGTCACTATAATGGACACTGGGGAATCCATTCTCATTCTAGATCATGGGGCCTTTGGACTAGTGGTGTTTGTCTGCTGCTTATTTGTGGTGATGGGCTTTTGTTTCTTTTAACCAAACCTCAGATTTGCAAAGGAGGAGTTTGATCCATTTATAGGATTGTCTGGTGAATAAACTTTCCCAAATATCTGTCCAAAACTTTAAGCTAAACTGACTAGGTGCAGTATTTATTAGCTCCAGAGTTATGCTATGATAGTTTCCTCTAGGTGAAATGATCCCCTTAAAGCACCATGATAGCTCCACAAACAGGGTGGATTAGTGTGTGGGTTACCTGAAAAATCTTATGACTTCCCTGTTGTATCCGGGGTTTTGTTTTAGGGGGACTTAGTAAAGGGAGGAGCTTCCTAGGAACTTGTTGAATTTAGCCTTAATCA